CTGCGAGAATCCAAAGCAGCACTGCTGAGATACTTGATTCCTTTCCAGACCTATTGCTCTGGCAAGACTACAGAAAGGTTCAGTCACACTTAAGCCCTGAAACAGTTTGACATTACAATGGGTCCAATATCTCAAGTTCAGCTAACACTGAAGGAAAGGGTTAGTGGATTAAAAGCACAAGCAAGCAACCCCATGTCATGTAAAATAGATTCAGAAGAAAGCAGCATTAAAATCAGATGTGGTGCTGAATGCTTTCCATGATGCTCTTACTATTGCCTTCAGTTCAGACTCTGAACTCCTTAAGCATTCCAACGTCCTCTACAGAATTTCAGCTTGTGTCAACAGAAGTTGCATATGGCAGAGATCTATAATCCGTCTCATCAAAGGTGAATAAATTCTTTACACTGCATAAACCTATAATTGTATTATTTGCTCTTGAAGGATCAGATATTTCACACTATCATTTAAGGCCTTTTATTTGTAGGGAAGGAGCTAAGTGTGCAAACCTCTACACCAGAAATATATTTAAGTATATTCCTAACTTTAAACATTAAAATAAAGAGCGCTACTAACTGCTTGAAGTCACATGTAAGTTTCTGGACACAACCTGAAAGGTTTAGAAGGAGACCTTATAAATTGGATCTTCAAGGGGAGGAAAATTTAAGTATTATGTGTGCAAAACTACATCACATAAATGTAGCTCTATGAAGTTATTCTTGATCTGTCCTGTTGTAAACAAGCTCAGTATCAGGACCAATCTCACTCTAGAGAATTCAAAAATAATGTTTAAATAATACTCTTAAAAAATTATACTGTCTGTGTGCAGCAAATAGGAAATACCTTGAGCACAGAACACAGCACAAGTTTACGAGCTAACACCACAGTCATGTTTAAGTAGTCCACCAACCAACCAACCAGCCAACCAACCACAAATAAGTAACATTTGTAATAAATAGATCTGAACTTCTTACACAAGAACTAGAGGTACCAGAAGGTATTAAGCTGTTTCGCCCCTCTACTCCACAACCTTGAGGTTTCCAGCTCAGAACTACATGTTCCAATTCTTCATGCAAGTCAAGGAAAAAACCCAAACATACTACCAGATTTTTAAAAACAATCCTACAACTTAAAGAAATGTGAAAATGGGTAGAACACCTATCTTTAGGTCCATGTGGTAGCTTTATTTCATTTTAAAAGTAAACTGCAATAGTTTTTGAGACATCATGTGTGATCGATTTGATGAATGTATCAAATTTCCTCAGGTCTGGAATCACCCTAACTCTTCCTGCCCCTGGCAGATTCTGAAAAACCTGGAGTACAAGCCATCCTGAATGTCTTCATGTGATATGAGCTAAATTGTGGCTTAGAACATTTGTGCCAGGAGCTCCTCCAACGGAGACTTCTTTCTATAACAGAAAAGCTTTGTGAAGCAGTCTTTGGGACCCAACTACCTGAAATGAGCTCTTCTCAGGAGAAAGTACTTCAGTTTGCCTTACAAATCAAATGCACCCTTCAGATTTCAACCCAAAGGTTCTCAGAAGCAGTATCACAACAGAGAAAGGGCACTCCAAAAGCAGCCATTTCTCCCACTCCTTCCCATTCATATTGCAATTTACAGGCTAGGTTATTGTAACACAGGTCATCTATCTGCAATTTCTTTCTGGGATATAAGGGAAATTGGAAAGATTTATCTTTCCTGTAGTGGTGGTGCTGAACATAAGGGTTTTTCAAGTCTGTTCGTAGATAGATGGATAGATACCTGTTCTTTAAAGAGATCCAATGTGTTTACTGAAACTTCAAAGAGAATATTGTGGCCACTGCTTGGGAATTTTAAGCATTACTATCGGTTCATTGTTTTATAATATTAAGCATTTACACATTAATATTGGTTCAATATTAATCAATATTGTTTCTGTCTAGAAATACAAGCACGGAATTGGGGACTCATCTTTAAACATTTGTTTGGGTTTTTTTTTAATTATTTTATTTTAAATTGGCATTTTGAGATTTATAGGAGTGTTTCTTTAGGATACCTTTGTATTTTCCAAGCCCTTTAGTCTATCAATGATGAGGCTACAAAGACGTGATTTCAAAAAACGCCAAGATGGTTTCAGCGAATATCCAAGTGTTTTCCGTAAGAATTGTATATTACAGATATCCTCTCAGAATCTAATCCAAAATTCACTGTCTTTTGCCAAAAAGAATGGGCAATGAGATGCCAGTAAGGTACTTGAGTTTCCCAGGATTCACCCTTTTCTAACAGAAAACTGTATTTGGTCTAAGAAGAGGTAAAATACCTTACCTTCCTCCTCTCTCCCCTTCCACCACATCAGCTGCTGCCTCTGTAGTCCTATATTGGCTGATGGAATTCTGTCACCGCTACTTATGATTTTAACTGTTTTGTTCACCTAAACTATAGTTATGGAAATTTTCTGAACAGCATGTTTACAGCATAAGTGACAAACTCTTATGAGAACTGTGCAGAGACATCCTAGCAGTGTTTGTAGATAATTCTGAATTTTGTTTCTGGATATAGAAACACTTAAGACACATTCAGACTTCCTGTGAATGTGACATAAAGGTAGATGGTGGTTTACTACAATATCTATAATATAGTGAGCAGCAAGTGATTGAGACAACTAAATTCAGAGCTGACAGACCTAATTTTCCCATGTAGTCAACAGAGAAAGGCAAGTGCCATATTCAGACTATGTAGCTTTATAATCCTTAACTTCAATTGCACTTTGTTTCCATGGAAAACCAACAGTCCAAATTCCACCAGAGCTCCTTATAAGAGGAAGAAAGCAAAATGTCAGGATCCTTACTGAAACCAATAGGAAATAAAGTACCTAACCCCCCCCCCCCCCCCGATTTATTGATTAGGTTCTAGATCTCACCAGGAACAAGCTGCTATCACTCTCTACTGCTTGCCATAGATACAAGGAACTCCATCCTACTTTACTCAATAATTGCTAGAAACCATTTCTTGCAAATCAGCTGTGCTTTTAAATGGGATTGTTGCATAGTGATTACTACCTTGATTCTCAAAAGATCATGGGTTTTGTTTTTGTTTTTTTAAAGAAAATTCTATTATCACTTTTCCCATTTCATAAGGATTTTTTCTTATGAAAGACCAGTATTTTACATAGAACACATATATATTTACTAATGTACATGTGTATTATTACTGGAATAGCATGGGATCCTAAGAAAAGCTTGACCTATGTAAGTTTTAATTCCATATAATATGCAGAGAAGCTAATACAGATACTTCTGTAAACCTTTTGCAGTTCTTAACCACAGCCTACTATATACGGAAGGAAAGCAGTCAAAAAGCAATGTCAGCCTTTGTTGATTGATTAGGACCACTAACTGCATGTGTAACTGTTGGAATAAGTAAACCACTGTGTTTCATTATGATAGTAAAAGTAAACCGAGTATGAAGCCTGCTGGCTTGCCAGAAGCAATTTTCTTGAGCTCTTGAGTTTTACTTAATTTTTTTTTTTTCCTTTTATAATTTTTGATAGTGTAGATTCAAAGTTTTTCAAGTCAGCTGAAATCACAGCAGCAGTTGCACCATAACCTAATCACCAACAAACTCAGTCACCATTAGCTCTTAAAGAAACTGCTAGACATCTGCACTTGCCCATCAGGATAGCAATAGCAGTTGCACATCAGCCTGATCTAACACAGCTTCTCTTCCAGGTTCTGAAGCAGGAGAGTTCCCTGCAAGAGGAAATTGCCTTTCTGTTGCATCAAACTCATGTAACTCTGAAGACTGGCCATTTATGCTCTACCAATTTTGTTGGCAAATTCAAGCAACTGAGGAGATGCTACAGATTCAGATATCTGAGAAAATGCTTATAGCCACCCAGCTGGCCCAAATGGAAAGAATACTTCTGAACTCTGTCTATAAAATTTAAGATCTGACCTTACAGAATGCTGAAACAAAAGTCATACAACTTTCATACCTGGTTCCTAAGAGGAATCCAACTGAGGAGTGCTGAAACCTTTTCTTATATTTTTATTGGTTAGAAAGGTGAATCTACCCAACCAAAAACGTGTTCCCTGGAAATGGGAACAAAATACTTTTTAGATAGCTCATTAATTTTTGCATGTTTCTTTCATTTCACCCCAGTGCATTATGATGTCTGTCATCAGCATATGGACTCTCAAGTAAATGGACACTGATTACATATTTTGAAAATACTGGTAATATAGAGTCCAGCATCCCAAAAAAGGGAAAGGTAAATAAGCTAATCACATTGCTACTGCATTCATTTGGTTACTATCAGTGACCTGCTTGTCTAAATGGCATTAATTCCATAGTACATTAACCAAAATATGTGAATTTTAGAAGGATTTTGTCTATGTAAACCTCTCATTCTATATCTTTAATAGAATCAACTAAAGCACACAGCATTCAAGTCTCAAAGAACCAAAGTATATACTAACAGTTCATTCTGAATACTTTCTTAGAGGTAGAGGTATGGGGAAGTACGGGGCAAAATTTTCAAAGCGAAGAGGCCCATTTTTGCTCACAAAAATTATATGCAAAATTGTGACAGCATTTATGTGGGCAACCACTGACATTATATAAGCAGATCCAGCAAATACACTTGCAAATGATCAGTACAGGCACCCAGCTGTAGCTGATGCTTTGCTTGTACCTTCGTGAATATTCTCCTGGTAACTGCATGCACTAATCTACCACTAGGACTACATTTTATGCAAGCATTTTTAGCACAAACACATGTCCACCCTCCTTGTTTGAAATATGAGTGCTGGTGTATTAAAAAATATTTGGAAGACAGACTTATTAAAATAAATGTTAAGGGAACACAGTGGGGTATATTTTCAGTGTGGAGCAGAGAGATTTAACTGCATGACTTCCATTAGCTTTAATGAGCAGTGCACAGCTAAACCCTCACACACCACACTAGAAGATTAACCCAGAAAACACACACTGTTTACTTTTTTACTAATACTCTGATTATTACCACGTTCTTCCTCCTCCTCCTCTTCCTCCTCCTCTTCTTCCTCCTCCTCTTCTTCCTCCACATCTTCACCTTCCTCTTCATCCTCCTCTTCTTCCTCTTCAATCTCTTCTTCTTCGTCTCGATCTATCTCCTCATCATCCTCCTCCTCGTCACCTTGCTCCTCATTATCATCAGAATATTCCTCCTCTTCTTCATCCTCTTCCTCTTCTTCCTCTTCCTTTTCATCCATCTCCTCCGTTCCATCAGTTTCATAGCACTCATCTACCGAAGAGTTGTCTGCTTTAACCACAAAGGGCTTTCTTTTGGGGGCTGGTTCTTGGGGTTGCTTATCTTGCGTTTTTCTTTTTTTTGCCAAAGGACAGCCATAAACACTGCAAAAACAAAAGATGGAAATTATTACACTATTCTGCAGATTTCTATGGGGCAAATTTTATAACTCATGTTATTTAGTCATGTATTCTAATTCTACACCATTATTAGTTGCTGTTCTCAATTGTGTATTTTAAAATTAAAGTGCTGCTCAGGCAATAATGACCAAGGGGGTGGACACTTACAAAACCTGTGAAATTGCAAACAACTATTATTTGCCTGAAAGTGTCACACGTATATGTCAGAACTGATATAAATGTGCTGTTTTCCTTCTCATTGTTTTCTCTCTTCTCTATGTTACACTCATTTCTAAGGCAGATGAGTACAGCTGAAAAATAAGCAATATTATCCTACCTGTTAGCTATCAGTACAACCAGGAATAAAGCAGTGCTTTATAATATTAAAATACTCAGTGAGGTTTCAATTGTGTACAATTAAGACATGTTTCAATGATATTTAAATAATGAAAATACAACCACATTCTTAATGCTGCTGTTTATTGTTATTATTATAAATTATTAATTGCTCATAAGTTCTCCACTGCTATGCTACAAGTCTGGACAAAGGGGAAAACAAGCTCCCCAACACAACCAAACAAAACCCCAAAAAAAAGTTTTCAGAGCCAGTGTTGGAAGTGTTCTCACACCGAAAAAAAAACCCAAAACATAAACAAAACCCTTTGTCAGTGGAAAAAGTCAGACTTTTCAAAGTGGAGCACCACTTCCTCACCTATCATGTTAACTCACTGCAACATAAACAGCATTTCAGAGTTCTGGTCTTGTACCAGAGTAGCCACATCTCAAAGGTCACATAATCTGTGTTTACTGAGTGTGATCAATCTTGTGTAATCTTTGTAACCTTCTACACAGAGTGACTGCACACAAAAATTGCTTTTTGTTTAAAGAACTTCCTATTTAAATTTTTCTACTCTGTGATTATACATGCTACTCTAACTATATTGGAGTTTAGTCTTCCTGTGCTTAACCAGTTTTGGGACATTTAAACTGTTCTTTCTAGTCCTTTTTCTTATCTACTTATAACTTCCGCATAACATTATATTTTTGCTTCTTTTATCCCAATTACAAATCACTGAGGATTTCTATCATTTTCTTCCACTCTAATAAAGCTTCATATTCTACTGACAAACCACTGACAAATAGAAGGTTTCACCACCTTAGTGCTACAGATGTGCTCTTTGCAGTGGCAGCATTGTCTTGATTTTGGTCTGATTTAATTCCATATGAGCAACTATGCAACCCAATTATTTAAACTGCTACTTGGGTAACAAGAGTTTGCTTTAAGTGCCTAGCCACTTTATTTAAGCGTCTGATTTAGCCATTGTCCTACCTAAATTTTTAAGCACATCTTCACAGGAAGACTGACTCAATCTGCCTGGCACACATATATCTAAGGAACACACACAGCCACAAAAGATGTTATTCATCATGGAAAACCTGCTAAGGGAGACCTTTTCATAACACAGGCACCTCTCTCTACGTGTAGGTAATATAGGTGTCTTTAAAGTTTAATCCAATCCAGCATGCCTAAATTAAACACCTCCCTCTATTAACACCATTCATGAGTAAATTTTCAAGTGCCTCCTTCTAGCCAGATTCCAATCATGCTCACTTCGGAGTGATATGGAGTAGCAGCACTAACACAGTTTCCAGACACCGACACTAAAGTTGAGACCTAATATTTTCAGGATAGAGAGTGAACAGATGCACATTATCCATATTCCAGGACCACGCTCCACCCAGCAGATTACATGGCATATCCTGGGAGAGAGCATTCTCTTCTAGAAGGTGAGTCCCTGAGGAGCTGGCTGCAAGAAACTCAGTCTGATACCCATCAGGCAAGCAAAAGCCCAAACTTTCACTAATTATAAGAGCCCTAAACTTTGGAAAAGAGGAGGCCTAAGCCTCTGGTCTCTTTGGACTATATTTGTTTCTCTCATAGAACCATACAGTCGTAGAACAATTGGGACTGGAAGCGACCTTAAAGATCATCTAGTTCCAACCTCCCCTTGCTATAGGCAATGACACTTTCCACTGGACCAGGTTGCTCACTGTCTCAACTAGCCTTGGCTGTCTCATCAGATTAAGGCCAGAACATTAACCCCACCCTGCCCTGATCTTTGTTCAGTTAAGAACGCTAAATACTTGCAAAAGTTTTCATCTAGTAATACCCCAAAACAGTCCCCTTCAGAATTCGTGCAAGTCTGGGAACTAGGCAAAAAGAAAGTAAGAAAACAAATGCATTTATTTTGTTTTGAGCTGTTGTTTATTTTTTCTATTTGGCATTAAGAATTATTGATGACTTTTTAGATACAAATTTTTGGTCACAGGTAGAAATAAATTGTTGTCATTGCCATTTTTGGTCATCTTTTTTCATGTCTTTATGCTTTTCTACACAACATTTTATGAAGTTTGTGAGAATCTAAGACATTACTTGGGACTCGGGTCCACCCTGGAAAGTGCGTAACTGGCAATGGAAATCAATGCCAGTTAGCTGCCTGATTGGCTTCAATGCTTTTATAAATCTCATTAAATAACTATTTGCAACCTAACTATTCAATTAAAGTTGTGAATTTGACTTTATTTTTCTACTTTATCTCAGATAAAGTAGGTTCTCAGGTTCTCAGTACCTTTGCTCATAGAATTTAAATGAGGACACATCAGCAACTAACAGAAATAAACATATGTATACTTTAAGGGTTGGGTGCAGCACTGAGTTCTTGGGAACATGTCACTTTCCCAAGGAAATTGGTTAACTCCTATTCAGCTATTGTAAAATTTTTCCTCATTAGTTTGCACCAGTTTCTCCACAACCCTGAACTTGTTTTTGCTTACGCTTGGATTTATACTTTATAAAGCTACCACTGCATGGGTTTTTCTTACAAAACCTTTTAGATACTGCCTTGCACTAGCTGTTCAACTATATACCTCATATAACTTATATATGCACCTTGTGTACTACAGACTTCATAGTCTGAGAAAGTTAAAAAAATCCATGTCTTGCAGAAACCCAGGAAACAGGCCACTAGACCTACTGTTTAGGTGCCCTATTTTCTTCTTTTCTTTCTTAACCTGTTCTGCTCTCATCCTTCATTTCATTAATTTTTCACATTCTGCCTCCAGGACACTTCTCTGTTTCTGGCATGTTCCCTGTGGTCTCTCCAGAGAGCTCACCAAGGGGAATGCAGTGCCAGCTTCCCAGCAGCCTCTGTCACTAACTTCCCCTCCCAACCACATACAGAGATGACAGACTCTCCCACTGACCTCTTGTTCCTCATATATTTGTGAAATCTGTTATTGTTTGTCCTTGTAGCTTCTGCAATTTTCTCTCCATTTCTCTTCATTGCCTTTTGTGATCATCCCCTTATTTGCTTATTTTTTAGACTTGGTTATCCCTGCTCAAAGCCTTGACCCCATTGATTTATGTGTCTTGCTTGCCTTTGTCTGTTCTTTTACTGCTCACTGTATTTCCCTGGTCAGCTGTGTTTGTCTTATTTTCCCCTCACGCTTCAGCTCTCTTGGCTTTCAGTGGAATATACATTTGGGCTTCCAGAAGCACACTTCTGAATATTCCACACCGCTTTGCTGTGTGACTCAGTCATCTCTGTTTTTTGTAATCTGTCATGAATAATTCTTGTGGAAGGAACGCTGCTGAATTTCATAGTGATAAGCTCCAAGAGGACATATAGACATTAATAATTGAATAAATTGAAGAAATAATACGTGAATTTATACTCCTTAGTTAGAAGATGATTTATGGTATTTTTTTAACTCTCATGCAATTTTTCTCCATTAAAAATAGTATCCTACTCACTGATACATTCAGTAGTACCTTTCCTCAGGAAATACATATTTCTTTCCCAGAAATGAGCTTCTTGATTTTTAATATATTTTATTACTAATATAATTCTAAGCATAATTAGTATGAGAATTCAACTTCTTGATTTTAATATATTTTATTACTAATATAATTCTCAGCATAATTAGTACAGTTATTATTTCTCAGCTATAACAGTGAAACATATCTCTTTAAATATTTATAGTATAAGACTAGAGAAATACAGGGATTTGCTAAATCAGATTACAGATTAATATTCTCTCCTCCATGATATGCCAACTCGCACATCAAAAACAGGACATGCCACCTATGTTTGGAGGACACTTTGTTCTCAGAGTGCCTTATTTCCCTACCTGAATTAGAAGGGAGCTCATGTGACTAACAAAGGTCCTAGTTTAGATAAAGTGATTCCTATCTGCCCTGTTTACCAGCCTTCTTTTTCAATCTGTATGTCTTTTCTATTGAATCTTTTATTTCAAAAGCCTTGTGCTGTAAGATCCAAATCAAGAAAAATAAGATCACGGCAATATTGTGCCCTAAATTCAAATAATATTTTTTTTCTCCAAGGTTTGTTATCCCTTTTTTTTCTTCTTAGTTTTTTTTCCTCATCAGTATTTTGAAAAGTCTTATAAAATGGGGTTTTCTTTCCTTCAATCTAAAAAATCTCCCCAGCAACAGTGTCCTCATTTTTTCCTTTTTTCCACGTAAGAATTTAATTTAACATAAACCAAAACATTTTGTAGGTAACTAACAGTTTACTAAATAGACACCTAATGAGTTTATCAAAAACATTTGACGAAACACTAAAGTATCTGAAGTGGTGCTGAGATGGAATTCTATCATATATAGTTGAGGACAGCGAATCCGGAAGAGTCTGCTTGGAAGTAAACTTCTGCTTAAGGATTCAGACAGGAAGTTCCCAAGGCACTTACACTTGTCCCACTGGATACCACAAGTATTATTTTTGGTTTGGACTAGATAACTTCCAGATGAAAACTTTTAGAGCATTAAGAAAATAGGTACTTTGCAGGTAAGTCCTTTAACAAATCAAATCTTCAGAGAATGTGAAACCTAATTAATTAGCATATCACTGCATCCTATTAAATCACTCTCGAAAGTAACTACTTTTAGCTTTAAAGGACTGATA